TAGCAATAGTCGTGGTTACTGTAGCTATGCAATACAGTTAATAAGGGAATGTACCCCTCAGAGTACATGGCTAGCTAGTTTGCTATTTAATCTCTTGTACTCTTATCTCTTAATCATCTTGTTCTCTTTCAACTATTACTCAACAAGGTCACTACAGAGACTTTATTGTCTCCTCTCAGACTTAACAGATCTTATCCTATCTACTTGATTCTTGGTTATATCAGCAGTTGCTTATTGGTACTGTGCTCATTGTCCTGACTTGCATGAGGCTTGTGGATACACCGGACAATGGTTTAACTTATTCTGTTTTGAAACCACAGAACAATTCCGTTCTACACCTCATGCCTTTAAAAGTCCCGCGGAGGGCAGTTGGGACTGTTCGGAACTGCCCAATGTTTCGAGGCAATTTGGGATTGTCTGTAGTATCCGGGTTACCAACCTCAACTGTATAAACTGAACAGTTGTTTGAGTCGCATGTTTTTCTATCCATGTTCGCTAACTCTTTCGCAAGCACACTTTACACAGTGGCAAGGGTCTTGTAGAAGGGTTTTAATTGGGCGTGTATCGAGTGGGCCGTTGGCTGTAAAGTTGACCGTTTGGACTGTCACGTGTACTCGGAAGTGAGGAGGGTGAGCGATTTCGCGAGCATCAGGTGTACCATATAACGCACCCCATTCGCACACCACACCAGCCACCTTTTCCGGGGTTACACGAGGATGAATTGTACTAGGCTCGGAAGCCCAAAAATCGCGTGCGACCTCCATCGCGAACAAACCTCACGGTTTGGAAACATCAGCCTCATCTTGACCTCATCAGCGGCTCGAGATTACGAGTCGCTGCCCCTACCGCCCATTGACTGCACAGTAATCACAGGCAAAAGTTGCCTCACTTTCCCCTCGCCATGCTCTGGCGAGGGCAAAGTGAGGGACCTCTATCGTGAAATTTTGATGGGCATATCGGTGGCTGCTTCACGATTACCCTAGGCGGAGATATCGATCTTGTCGGCCCTGTCATTCGCTGTTGTGTTTTACTGATCCTGTTTCTTTTTGCAAGGGTAGCTACGTTTCGGAAAAGTGATTTGGGATGGCTTCACAATTGGGGTTTGGCAATGTACTAAAGGAGATACAGATGTTCTCGATTAGAGTCCCGTTGAAAAACACACGCGCTGCGAGACTTTGTGGAAAACTCACAAATCCCGGGCAAACGGGAACCTATAGTCCCATATCAAGAAATTTGCATGAAGAACGGTTTTCTTTCACTACTTGTTCTTTATTTTTGTCACATACGTACATTTGGACTGCGCTGTCTTACAGTTATCGTCGTACGGTTCGCTGCGTTGATCAATGTAGCAGAACTAACGGGCAGAAAATGCAAAATCGAATATGTTTAAGGCTGAAATTAAAGACATTAATTTTTGTTTTACCCTGTAAGCGATATTATTGCGATGTCATCGTCGAGCTCGCTGGGAACCGCGCGACGGGATTTCGACGAAAGCGCGGTCAAGAAAATCAAACAACAGCGATTGCAAAAGTAAATATTGAATCAACATTTTCCTCCTTATCATTTTTTTGTGAATGTTCTGACTGGCTCGTTTTGCGACCTCTGATTGGCTGCGGAACTGATTCGTGCAATGATTAAGTCAAGATGCAAGATTTCCCGCCAAAAAGGGGACTGTAGAGGAGGGGATACACCTAGGAAATATGTGAAAATTCTACTCGATGGGAAAACGGGCTCTTTTAGGAAGGGCCTCTAAGCCAGAACATCTGTACAGTTGTGATGGGGCATCTTGACCCCACGGTGAGCTTGGTTGTCTTTTTGGCTCCACGCGGGGCGTTGACTATGCCCACCCGTGTCCGTTTGTACAGCTGTCGACTCGGTTTGTACAGCTTGTTTGTCGTAGGAACTTTTCAAAATAGTTATTTGTCGTTATTGTTTAAGGCTCGGTACCCAACCTCAACACATCCTCATGTTGTGGTGCTCCCGAACAGGGCACACGTCACTTGCAGGCGATGACTAGCGAGCGCACCATTCCTTGTGTGCGACGGTGAGGCTGTCAAGTGCGAGCTCTCCACTTCCTCATCTGTCGCATTTGCGACTGTGGTCAGGCTGGGGAAATTGAAATTGAGCAACCTCAGTTGCATTTGCGACAGTAGCCAGTCACTGGATCCCACGGTTTCGCACCGCGGGCGACTGACGTTCTTCCACTGTGGTCAACGACGCTAGCGTTTGGTGAGGCGAGCCATGCCTGATGGTTTCTGGGCGATCAAATGCGAGCTTCCTTGCAACACTCATCGGGAAACTGGGCTTCATAAGAGAGAACACCACACCACACCACACCACACCACACCGCACACCACAACGCACACCACACCGCACACCACACCGCACACTGCACCGCACACCACTTTCCCTTACTTGACCGGACCAAGCTGCAATGGTTGGGTTGATTCGAGATAGGGGTTCGGACACCATTAATCAATCAGCATTAGCCATGTGTTACTTGACCAGTAGAATCAAGGCAGGTAGGCCACCCACAGTCACGCCACCATACAACTGACGCCACCATACAGATTCTAGAACCATCGGTTTCAGATTTGTGAATGGTAGCAAGCCCCATGTGAATGCGAAACCGCTTGTGTGGCTTATTCCTCTCGACTTTCAATTTATTTTTCTTTCTCCACTCCGCCACCTTCCTCCACATCTGTTTCATTGTCCTCCTTTCGCACACATACAAACTTCGCGAGTTATCATGGAGGAAACTAGTCTCTGCTCCGAAACACGTTTCCACACATCCAACAGGATCTGTCAGTATCCTTCACTACGGACTTTGTAGGACCCGTGCCGGACATGATGTTGTGTACAGGGCTATTGCTAGGATTTTTGCTAGCTCGGACGATCCGGGCCCCTGTGAAAAAGACCCTGTAAAATCCGAGCCAGCGGGAAAAAAACCTTGACGAATCCGGGTTCGAGCCAGAAAAGGCCTGAAAACATGCATTACCAGAATTTCGCGGGAAACTCACAGTGGGTTGCGCGAGGGCTGGGGAGATTGGAGATGGAGTGGCTCTGGAGGGGTGAGCGAGATACTTTTTGTAGACTTAGAAAAAAATACGATGAGGAAGAGTACATCGGGAGAACAGGGCAATCAGACACTCTCTCCTTATTGGCCTTCTAAGCCATGTCGACGTAGAACGGGGCAATCAGACACATGGAGGCCAACAAGGAGAGAGTGGTTAGGAAATTCACTAAAATTGGCCCAACGTGTGTTTAGAGGGAGACCGAGAGGAATGCAAGGCAGGTCGGGGAGAACATGTCTGCTAAAATTATACGGGTCCCCTTGAGAACTCCCCGGAGAGATCCGAGCTGACTCAAAAATCACCCTTCAGTTTTACGGGCTGGTCCGGAAAAAACCTTGTGAAAATCAGGGCTCCTAGAAAAAACACCCTATAATTTCAGTCAAAACAGGGTAATTGCCCTGATAACTTAGGCCCTGGTTGTGTACCCCTCTCGATCCGCCGTCGTGCGACACAGCGTGGATGTGACAAGGTCAGTCTTGCTGTCCTTTTCACCGATGGCGCCAAAAATCGCCACGCTGGTTCGCTCGCGCTCGCCTCCAACGTCCCACGGACAGAGAGAATAAACATACAGTATAAACCGATGGCGACGAAAAGCTGCACAGATACCCGCGTCGTCACGTCACGTCGTCACATCTAAATCCCCTAATGATGGTTCAGCTAAAGCGACAATGCAGCCTGCCTGTCTCTCGCGTTACTGTAGTAAGAGAGAAAGGAAGAGAGAGAAAAGAATGTACAGCTCGAACGACGGCAAGCCGACCAAAGCGACGAATGTCGCTCGCCGGTCGTAACGAAAACTTGGAAGTGGCCAGCCTGGCACTTATTGTTGCCAGTGCTTGGAGGTGGCGATGGCCGTTCATGGCGATATAAGTTCACCGCCGGTTGAAAGCCGTCAGGCTGGCACTGGTTGTCGAGACGCCGGCGTGTGGCGGTGGTGGTGAATGGTGATGGGTGTGCGATGCGATCCAACGTGCAGTTGACGGCGCGGCTTTTTTACGAATCCGGAGAGCAGACGTTCTTCCTAGCGGAACTCCCACGAATCAGCGATCGTCACTGTCGTGTAGATGTCCGAATTCTGGCGTTTAGAATAGGATGTCATCAGTAGTAATGTCGCACTTGCATCGCTCCTGAGGGCAACGTTGGGCGGACAGCCACCGATACCCCAAGGTATCCCCACGATTTCGAGCCCATTTCGAGGTTCGAGTTTTTCGTATTGAATACGATTGGTTGTCCCGGTCAAGATGCGCTCAAGGTGTCTGTATCAAACGGTCTGGAATGGGAGGCTTGGATCGGAGCATCTTACGAGCCGCACAATTGTTGACGCGCTTGGAAAATAGCCTTCAGGTGCCTCAGAAACGGGACGAGAAGCTCCCAGTGCCTCTCCAGCCACACATCAGAATGTCTGGAGTCTGGTTCCAGGAGAGAGAGAGAGAGGATTAGTAGCCGTTTCCAGTTCTTAATTTCAATCCAGCGGGCTGCCGGTGTTAGCTCTCTCCTACTAGAACAATCCGAGCTCCTGTAATCTCAGCCGTCCGACGTTTCTGTGTGACAATTGATCCGGTGGTAGCTCCAACACGAAACCACTTGATTTTCCTCATAAGTCGTTCACAGCTATGGAAGTTTGTGACTATATCGAGTTCGGTCTCCCCGGATCCGTGCTTTACCGGGGATTTCTCCTGTCCGACCCTCCCGCTTCCGCCACCTCCATCGCACCTGGTGCTGTTACCGCGTCAAACAAGTCTTCGTTTTCGCCTTCGTTTTCGCCTTCACTTTCGCCGAATTCTATCATTCAGTCCGGGCGAGATCAGGAGGACACCACGATCCTGCACCCGTTGTCCACGTGGAATGACGTTCCGATTCGCCCTGCTGACTCAGCTTTATCCCACGGCGGCGGCGGCGGCGGTTTGGCTCTCGAATCAGCGGGTCTGGATGGGCTTATGGCGGGCGACAGCGTTTCTATGGTGTGCTGCACGCCGCGGAACTCATGGGTGCAAATCGAGGCGGCTTGTAACGAGGCGTGTCATCCTCTGCGCGTTCGCCAGGTGGACGGCTTGCCTGCTCATTACAGTCACAATCTCGATTGGAACCTCGGGATCATCCCGCAGACGTGCTCCTGCCGTCAAGGCGACAACGTCGGAGGGGATTTCCAGTCTGGGTCGGGCGATATTTGTAAGTCGTGCGACAAGGCATGCGACAGCACTGGCAGCAACGCGGGCTGCGACGTGGCGACATGCGCGACGACGTGCGACAATTCGTGCGACAAGGCATGCAACAAGCACGCCCCTTTAGAGGTGATCGAAATCGGCCACGGGGAGGCTCGAGTGGGGCAGGTGTATCCGGTGAAGCCGCTGCTCGCGTTCCTCGTCGTCAGCCCCGACCTCAAGTCCTCCTGGAAGATCGTGGCCGTCGATTCGTCGGATCCGATGGCTGCGACACTGCAGGATTCGCGAAGTGGTTACCCGGTTTGGTTGGAGGCGAAGCTGCGCGAAATCGTGGAGTGGCTGAAATACTACAAGTGTAACACCGTGTGTAAGTGCAGCCTCCTCTCTGCACGAGCAAGAGGTTCTCCCCTCACCTCACCTCACGTCAACTCCTCGCTCGCGCCTTCATTTTCTGGTTCACCCATCTGTGCTCGCCTGCTCTTTTCTCTCACTCATCTCACTCGTCTCTCCCATTACCCCTTACTCCCCTAATCGTCCGTTTCCCACACCTCTTCCGCTTCCTCCCCCATGTCCCCCACAACTCCTCTCTTCCTTTCCCCTCTCCCCCATCCCCCCCACCCACACACCCCTTCCAACCTCCCCAGTCGATCCGCCAAGCACCATCGCGGGTCGTGAGAAGCCAGCGCCCTTGCATCGCACCATCGCCGCCATCAGCGCCGCCCATGCCGCCTGGACGCACTGCCGCCGCCGCTGCAGCAGCAGCAGCAACACCAGCAGCACCAACACTACGCGCCAGCAGCAGCAGCAGCAGCAGCATTCCCAGGGACGGTATTCCACTGAAGGATCTGAGGCAGCTCGCAGAGCAAACGGCCTCCGCTGCTCTCACCAACGCCATCTCTGAATTCGCCCGCGTGCCCTTCGCCCAACCTGCCTCCGTGCCTGCCGCCGTTGCTGATGGTGCTGCTGTTGCCGAGCCTGTGGGCCAGCAGGCTCGGAAGCAACGCCGGTTCCGAAGATCAGGCTCGGAGCCGGGCTGCTATGGCATGCGAAAGAAGAAGATTTCGATTAGAGTCGATGAGAGAGAGGATGATGCAAGTGAGAGTGATGGTGGGAGTGGGGGGTGGGAGAGAGAAGACGATGAAGGATGGCAAGAGTATGGTGAAGCGGAACAACAGCAGGGGCAGCAGGCGCAGAAGCAGAGAGGTTTCGCACGTATAAAAGAGCGGTGGCAGCAGCAACAGCAGGAAAAACAGCCGCAGCAGAAGGGGAGGAGCAGCAGCAGCAGCAGCAGGAGCGGCAACAGCAGGAAGGGAAACAGGCGCAGCAGCAGGTGACGCCGCAGCAGCAGGAGGGAAGAAAGATGACCAGGCACTGGCGATCCTCCTCTTCCTGTGCTCTCGAGATCCCCACCGGAACGCTTCTAGACTCACCCTCCCCCTTGCAACGCTCCTCCTCTTCCCTCCTCCGCCAACCCCTCACCCCTTCCCCGTTGACTCGCTCCGCCTCTGCTTTCCTGCAGCCCCTCACCCCTCGCCGTCCCCCGTTTGCCTTCTCTCCCTCCTCCTCCTCCACCTCCTCCTCGCGCAAACTAGCAGGCTCTAGGTCTGTGTTTTTCAACCTTGTCGAATCTGATCAAGGGGTGGTTCAAGAGGTTTGCCAAGAGGTGGGTGAAGTGCCCAACGCGGGTCCAGCGGCCGGGCAGAGAGGCAGGCACGGCCGATCACGCAGCAGCATCAGCTTCAGCTCCAGTGAGACCAACCCTAGAGTTGGTGCTTGTGGCAGTGAGAATCCCAACGCAATCTGCAGCAGCAGCAGCGTCAGCAGCACCAACAGCAGCTGGCAGTTGGGTCGATCGGCTACCCTTCACGTCCTCATCCCCCCTCCTCTCCCCGGCGCATCACCCTCAACCCCTCCTCAAGCAATATCCTCCGCTTCTCCTAATTCCGCCTACCCTCCCTTGAAACCTCCCCCGGGTATGGCCGCTCCCTCGCTCTCTTCCCTGCCCTCTCCCGGACCCTCTCCCATGCCCGCTGGGAAAGGAGGGAGGTACGACTTTCGGCGGACAATCTCTGCTCACACCGAACGGGAGTCTAGAAAACCACCCGGGAAGGATGAGAAGTTTGACTCGAGTCTCCTGGCTGCTACCCCACCTGCTGCCGCAGCAGAGAGGGATGGGAAGCTGGAAAAGTGTGGGACGTCCAGTGAAGTTGGCAATATAAGCGCCTCTCCGGCTGGGAGAGGACGGAGGTACGACTTTCGGCGGACAATCTCCGCTCAGACCGAACGGAAGTCTCGAAAACCACCTGGGAAGGAGGGGAGCTTTGACGCGAATTCTCTGGCTGTTACCCCAGCGGAGAGGGCTGGGAAGCTGGAAAGGTGTGGGACGTCCAGGGAAGCTGGCAATATAAGCGCCTCTCCCGCTGGGAGGGGAGGGAGATACGACTACCGGCGGTCCATGTCTGCTCACACCGAACGGGAGTCCCACAAACCACCTGCAAGGGCTGGGAAGCTGGAGAAGTCGCCAAAGGCAGGAACCAATCTTCCCGGAACCTCAAAGGGACGCAGCGGGCTACTAAAAACGCCAAGAACTCCCAACACGCCCAAAGCACCCTGCACTTCCAACGCGCCGAGGACGCTGAGAACCCCGAGAACGGCCGAAGAAGACAGCTGCTCTCGCAAGTCGCCAGCAGCGAGGAATGGGCTGTTGAACGCCCCCCAGGCAGGCAATGAGGTGCCCAAGACTCTTTCCAGTGCACGAACGGAGGGGCTGATGACTCCAAGGGCACAAAGGGATCTGCTCAAGACTGCCAAAGCTGCTGTTGGTGCTAGTGGTGCTGCTGCTGGTGCTAGTGGTGCTGTTTCTGCTCCAAGTCCACGGGACGCAAGGGATGAAGCAGCTGACGGCAGCAACACGTCATCAGGTCTGACAGTGGGTGGCGGCGGTGGTGGTGAGAGGAGCGGCAGCACGAGAGGGGTGCTGAAAGCTGTGCTGAAGCTGTTTGGGAAGAGCCGGGGGAAAGACAAGAGTCAGAGTCAGAGTCAGGGCGAGAGCCAGAGCCTGAGCCACATTCAGAACAAGAAGAGCCTGCAGCAGAGTGCGGGTGAAGAAGCACCAGCAGGCCAGATTGCCCCTTCCCTGGATTCCCCTTCCTTGGGTGGGCTCGATTCTGCTGGGCCTGCTTTCAGGGGCTCGTATCGCTCTCTGCTGCTGCTGCTGCTGCTGCTGATGATGATGATGATGTTGCTGATGCTGGTGCTGGTGCTGGTACTGCTGCTGCTGGTGCCGATGCTGACGGTGATGCTGAATCTGTTGTTGATTTTGATGACCCTCATGCTGATGATGCAGGAGAGGCACTCTCCGACCTCCCATACTCATCCAACAATCACCACCATGAGGAGGTTTACACTGACTTCACCGTGCCTCTCTCCGGCAACGCTGACAGCAGCACGGACGTGATGTCGCGCTTCAAGCGTGCTCTTTCCGACAAAACAGAGCGATCCCTGCCTCGTTCTGAGGACAACCTTCATTCAAGCAGCAGCCCGAGTCTTCCCGGCGGCACCACGGACGTGTTATCTCGCTTCAAGCGTGCTCTCTCCGACAGCGCCGAGCGACCCGGGCACGACTCACGAAACCACGACCCCCATGCTGCTGCCTCGTCCTATGCTGCCCCGTTTGAGCGCTCAGCACGCACTGCCCCTCCGCCTCCACATGCAGATGCATATGGTATCCCTGTGCACACTACTCCCGTCTACCCTGCCCCAATGCGTCGCCATCAGCCTCGCAGTAGCATTCACAATCCTGGCAGCAGCGTTTACAACCCTGGAAGCAGCAGCGCCTGCAGCGGCAGCGTGTGCAGCAGCAGCAGGAGCGTGTACATGCCTGGAGGCAGCAGCAGCGATATCAGCAGCGTGGGTTGCAGCGACAGCATGAGCGTCAGCAGTCACGGCAGCAGCAGCAACAGCAGCAGCAGAAGGGTATCCCGTACCCTCACCCCCACACACACGTCTCCCTTCCAAACCTCCCCTTCATCCATGCAGTGTGGGTATCATGTGGCGATTGGGGATTGGGAAGAAGGAGCTGGAGGAGCAGGAGCTTTGGGTCGCTCTCCCATGTCCGTCCCATGTCCCGTCTCTCGCTCGCACAGGAGGAGCCGGTCGTTCACAATGCTGCAGCGAGCCTATGGTTCGAGTCACAACCAGCAAGCGCTTTTTGGCTCCTCGGGCGAACTTGATATGCTGCTGCGGGAAGAGTTACAGGAGTCAGATGAGCCACAGAAATTGCAGGGATTGCAGGAAAGACGGGGAGCAGCAGTAGCAGCGCCGGCGGCGGTGGCAGCGGCGGCACGGGAAGGACAGGAGGCTCAACTGAGGCCGGTGCCCCGGCTGCCTCCCAAGAGCCCCAGAGTCCCTCGCAGCTCACAGGTTTGTGCCGACTCACCGGCCCACCTTGGAACGTCTCAGTGGGGCCGGAACTCGACCCGAAATCCCCCCGTGAATTCACCCCAAAACTCCTCACCACGGAACGCGGCGGGAGCATTTGAGTGGGGCGAGAATTTGCCAGGGAAGTCGCCTCAAAAGTCACCCCAAAATGTGCAGCAGGCGTCTTCTCCTGGCGCCCAGTCTTGTCGGCTTGAGGCGGGCAGTACATCTGCGCTCATGCGAAGGCAGCGAGCAAAAGCTGCTGCTGCCCTGGAATCGGCTGAGAGGTGCAAGCAACCGCCTGCTGTTTCTGCTACTGATGACTCGGGTGCTGCTGCTGCTGCTGCTGCTGCTGCTGCTGGCTCGGGTAGTGCTGCTGTGGGAGAGCAATTGCTGCTGCAGCAGCAGGGACTGGAGCAGCAGCAGGAAGAGGTGGGCCAAGAGCCGCTGCTGCAGCTGAAGCTGCCTCTGAAGCTGCAAACGCGGTTGAAGCAGGCATCACAAGGGCAGAAGTTGCGGCAAGCAGCAGAAGGGCAGGGCCTGAAAGATAGGTTGCAGCAGGGGTTGCAGCAGGGGGCAGAAGGGGAGGAGGTGTGGCACGGGGGCTATGAGGCAGTGAGAGCGTCGGCAGCAGCACAGCTGGCGCCCCTCATTTGCCTCACCCCGCCCTGCCCTTCCCCTGTTGACAGCTCTCCTTCCCCAGTTGATGCCTCTCATTCACCCACTAATGCCTCCCCTTCACCAATTAACGCCTCCCGTCTCCCAGTTGAGGCCTCCCCATCCCCAGTTACCACCTCGTTCTGGCCTCTTGGCAGCAGTAGCAGCAGCAGCCGAAGCAGCAGCAGTAGAGATATCAAATCAGCAGCTGCCGCAGTTGCTGATGCCGACGCTGCTCTCACTGCTGCTGCTTCTATCATTGCAGGAACAGCAGGAGCTAAAAAAGAGGCAGTGGGTAGGTGCGTTGGTGAATTTGCCCATGAAGAGAAGGCAGAGGAGGAGGGATGTGCTCAGATCCACCATACGGCAGCGGCACGAGACAACTTGGCACGAGAAGAAAATACGGTATCATGGATAGACCTAAGCTACAACTTTTCGACTCATCCTGGTGACTCACAGCACTCTGAAATCGTACGCTCTTATATCGAGGAGCTTGTTGCTGGTTGTTCTGATGGCACGGAGGATGGCGGTGGTGGGTGTGCTTATAACGAAGCCCTTGCTGAGTGTGTGTATGGGGATGATCCCTCATTGAATGCTCCAAGGGAGAGCACTCTCAGTATGGAAGAAGGGAGCATGGGCATTGGCTGTAGCAGGAGAGCACACAGGAGCAGCAGTGTGGACAGGAGCATGGGGAGCGGCTATGGCAGGAGGACAGACAGGAGCAGCAGCGTGGAAAGGAGCATCCAAGACATAGGCGGTCACTCTATCTCTCCTGAAACTCAAATCGGCAGGCGATTGCGACACCGCAGAAGCGCCAGTGTCGCATGTGAAGGCACCTTCGAACGCGCCCTTGAGCCGACCTTTGTCCCGACCCTGCGTCGCCGTGACAGTATGGGGAGTGTGGGCAGTGTGGGCAGTGCAAGCTTGGTGTGTGAGCGAATCCTGAGTGTGTGTGATGTCTCGCCTGTTCCCATCATCCTCTCCTCCCACTTGGGGATTGTGGGGCGGACTCGTCATCGGTCCGCTTCTGCAGAGAGACTTGATGTGTACTCTGCAGGCAGCGGTGATGCATATTCAACAGCGGCAGGCGCAGAGGGAGAAGTGGCAGCAGAGGCATGGTCTGGGACATCAGTAGCAGTTACGGACTACTCTTCTGTTGTAGCAGGAGCAGCAGCAGCAGCAGCAGCAGGAGGAGCAGCAGGAGCAGCAGCAGGAGGAGCAGCAGGAGCAGCAGCAGGAGGAGCAGCAGGAGCAGCAGCAGCAGGAGCAGCAGGAGCAGCAGCAGCAGGAGCAGGGCGAACGACCACTACTGCTGCCCCCCAGTTGCCAAGGAGACCAGCAGCACCTCGCCTGGGTGCTTCTAGAAGGTTCTACCGCACCTCCAGCTGCCCTGATGTTGAGAACATGCCATCCCCAGCTGTGCCTCAAGCTATACCAGCAGCAGCAGCAGCAGCAGAAGAAGTAGCAGAAGGAGCAGCAGCAGCTATAGAAGTGGCAGTAGCAGGAGAAGAAGCAGCAGCAAGAGAAACAGAAGCAGCAGAAGAAGGGGAGGGAGGTGAGGAGGGGCAGGAGTCGCTTGAGTCTCGCTTGAGGCGGTGGCATGAGAGCATGGGTGCTTCATCTGCCTTCTCGCTGCCCCATGATTCCACACCCACCAGAGGCCTCTTTCTCCCCGGCCTGCCCCACTGGACCAAGCGGTCGCTCCCTCGCTCGCTGCGCATCTCCCGCTCGCTGCTCTCCTTCCAAGAGCGCGCGCTGCTGGAGCACCGCCAGGAAACTGCTCTTCTGCAGGGGATGACTGGCAAAGAAAAGTGGGAAAATGATGGAGAAGACGAGCTTTGGAGTGAGAGGAACGAGGAGAGCAACGAGGGGATTCACGATGCGAGCAAGGAGGTGAGGAACAAGAGGCGAGCGAGAAGGTGTGAGCGAGCCACCAGCGACGGAGGTGTGGGTTCGTTACTGTCATTTGGCAGCAGCGGCAGCAGTGGCAGCACCAGTGTCCCCTGGAGAGTCGATCCGGGCGGCGGTGGCAGTCTATTCCGCGTCGAGAGAATTCTGGCGGCCCCCCTCCACCCCCAAGCCTGTGAAGCAAGCCAAGGTGTGCCTCCCCAGGTACTCCCCCCCTGTGCCGCCCATTGGGCTGGAGAAGCTGATGGAGGGCGCAGCAGGGGGAGGCGGGACTGGGGCAGGTGGGACTGGTGGGTTTGCTGGGTTTGGTTTGTTTGGTGGGGGGGGTGGGGGATGGGGGTTGGGGACGGGGTGGTGGGGTGCTGGAGAGGGCGCGGAAGGGGGAAAGGAGGGGAAGGAGCAGATGGGAGAAGCGGGGTGGGCTGGGATTGAAGGGTTGGCGGACGCAGCATGGGGCATGGTGTGGGGGGGAGGAGGGGGTGGAGGTGGGGAGGGGGCTAAAGAGGAGGAGCAAGGGGGCTTGGGTGAAGGTGTAGAAGTGGTCACGGGGGAGAAGGTAGAAGGGGGAGACGCAGTAACAGGAAAAGAAAATGGGATTACTGAAGGGGAGGAGGAAAAGTGTTTTCTTCAGAAGGATGGTTCAAATGTTGACCAAATTGCAACGGAGGAGGCGAGAGGAGGTGGTTGAACAAGTCATTTGATTTGCATACATCACTCTCGTAGAAGATTTGGATGATAGTAGAATCTAACCCAGACCATGAATGAATGCTGGAAATTTGCTGAATAATTTTGCAATGATATGCGCTTCATTTTGCTCGAGGATTGTAGTTATATTGTAAACTAATTTTTTTTGTGGGATATGCTGATTTATTTTATGTGCATATCAGTGAAGGCATTGCACATGAATGTTAGTGTGATTGTTAGACTCGGTTGAGTCCTCTCCTTCTGGCTTGTATCGCGTCTCCGCCACCCCCACCCACGACTATTCCTCAGCAGCAGCTCTCGCTCTCCCTGCTCCAACCCTCCCGTCATCCCCGCCGCGTCTCTCGCCATTCGTCTTTCGCCGCGACCACTAATCCAGCCGCCCTTCCCATCCACCGTTTCATTCGCGTCTCTTTCGCCAACCCTCGCGAAATTCGCACAGCATGGGAGGAGGCGGCGGTGCTGCTGGCGGTTACCCTAACGTCTGGGCTTTAACCGGGGGGTGGTACTGCGACCCAAAACACTGGCGTCGCAACACCGCGTTCGCTTTGGCCGGTATCTTTGCCGTCTGCGTTCCGATCGCGCTGACGTCAGCACGCCTAGAGGTCAGTCAGTCGATGTTGTCAGTGAATCATGGATCGTATGATTCATTTCGCCGCGGCACGCGCTACACGTGCGACACGTGCGACACGCGCGACACGTGCGACTAGATTAGATTGCTTACGTCGCGAACTTGGTCGAGCATGCTATCGCACCGTAGGAATCAGAATGTTTGTTGGAAAAGCGTTATGGGAGGCGTGAAGAGTTTCGAAGCGGCGCGAATCCTCTGTTAACGAAACGGCATATAATTTCGTTTTCACGAGTTGCTAATGACAAGACATGGACATACCCATGCCGTCGATCTCGGGAAAGTGACGGTTACGAAGCGCGCCATGAGTGAGCCTTCATGTGAGGCTGATGCTCATGCTTCACGTGGCTTTCATGTCAGGCCTATATCCCAGTGCGCTAGGCTTCATGTTCCTTCATCCTGGCATGTGCTTTAATGTGCACATTCGCAGTCTCCTTTGCAATTCGCCTCCCCCCCTTCCCACCTTCCTTTCTTCTCCCCTCACTCCCTCACTCCATGCCCTGCAAATCCCTTTTCCACCCTCCCTCTTCTCACCCCTCCTCGCCAGTCTCCCCTCCTCAACCCCCCGATCTCCCGACCCCAAATCGTGCGCATGCATCTCAGGAAGACCGTTAGTATCAGGAGCCATTCCCTCCCTCCTTGGATGGCGTGCTTCGATATTTGCCTTTATAGCCCCCTTCATCTGCTCCTTACCTTGTGCTGTGCGTCTCACCCTCTCACGATCCCCAATCGTCCCTAATTGCCCCCAATCGGGTGCTGTGTTTCAGCAACGACCAATTGCTCCAAGCCGCGCCATTCCCTCCCAGATGTGGTGCTCCAATTTTCCAGCTGAATCTAATCAAGCAGCGGAGGAGTGATAGATCATAGGAGCAACACACCAAGCATTGTGGGTGTAGACGGTAGATCCTGTCAGGGGCAGATTGCAGGAGAAGTATGCAATGCACACAAGGGTTTTTAGATATGGACAGCCTTGGAGGGGCGTGCTCAATGCTCACGACAGGATGTGCGCAGGATGTTCTTACTACAGAATATGGATATGATACGACGTCCTAAAGAAGTTTGTTTTCCAGAAAGATGAACTTTAATTAGGGCACAAGTTGTTTATTCAAACAATGAGGGATGGCCATAACTTGTAATGGCACATACTATATTGTATGCACGTGATTCTTGAACTGGCTGGACCACTTCGGGATGAGGGGGTTGTGCGGGGAGGAAAACGCAATGAAATGGGAAAAGCTACCAACCATACCCAACCGAAATGGATGTGGAAAAGAATGGACTGGTCTTTTACGCGGTGTGTGTCGGATCGATCGCCTCCGGCTCGTTCTTTAACACGGCTGTGAAGGGTTTTGTGCTTTCTGTATGCAAAAAACAGGATTTGAGTGCGGTTTCTGGGTCGATATTTCCCCGAACGAGCACTTACACCGCGTCCTTGTGCCTTGCTCGTCAAGACCAGACTGGACTGAGATCGTGCCTTCTAAGGGCGTGTAACTTTTTTTAGAACCGCCGTCCGGACTGCCCGAAGTCCGGACGGTTGACTTGGTTACTAGATTCGACATTGTTCGCAACGTCGCACAGGTCCGTACTACCTGTGATACTTTTTTCGGGTTTTTGGCACATGCAGGCGGCCCATTCAGTGTCCGGACATGAATCGGGCCGTCTGATTCTGCCTCGCTGTCATTGGCGGACGAAAACACAAAACTGACAAATCCGCGACCCGGGTTCACGAGTCGCTGAAGCAATTCTGCCGGATCGCCAATTTTGCAATTGCGCCAATTTCAACTACCACACCATCTCAATCCGACGGAACCATCTCACCGTGTCACTACAAGAAAAAGTGGTCCGGACCACGCATGCTACAAAAATAGACCCGTCTTCTGTAGGTGACAACTCCCAACCCCCTAGTACCGCTGGAAACCCAGACGAAACCCCGGCAGTTGACGAACCCAAACCGGACACTCCTATGTGAGAGGAGACTGCTCAGGGTTTCGGATAACTTCTTCGGACTTGGGACTGCGTTGCGCCGAAGCGCGTTTCAACCTGGGCGAAAAACGCGAAGAGTAGGTAGCATGCGTAACCTGTCGTAAGTGTTTCAAATTTCGGAACCCAAAAAGTTCAACAATTCTAGTCCGTACATACTTCCTTCCAGACCTGTGAGCCCAAACGTCTGTACAGAGGCTGTCCGTACACTTTTGCGGGAATGTCCGGACATTCACTGGTTCGGAAAAAAGTTACACGCCCTAAGTTCTATCCGACAAGAGGCGGCGTTTCTAGAAGAATAAACAGGTCTAGGACCTTTTTCTGACAAGATAGTATCTAATTTCAGAACCTTCGCAGGCAGCACGCTTCGCTCACCTCTTCTCGCGAGGCAGTGATTTTTTTCGTTCTGACCTGACCAACAGCTCGTTGTTGTCATTGTACAGTACGATCCACTGAGGGGAGTTCTGATTGGCTAATTGTGCCATCCTCCGTCGGTTCCGTAACTTGATTGGTTCGCTTTGAGAAGCGATTCTAACTGCCTCGCCATGTAGCAAGCATCGTTTGAGTGACAATCGTCTAAAAGACGAGCCTTCATACGAGCGACGACTTTTCGTCGAAGCGATGAGCTTTGGCCTACTCTGAACCACTGATAACTCCGCAGCGCTTCACCTGCTTACTTCTCAGACACATCTTGCTACTGAATTGCTCACAATCGCGTACAACACTTACAGTCCAGCCGGATCCCGTAACATTCCCTAGAACGGTTCAATCTTTCGAGAGATAAGGACGCTCTGCGTACGCTATCTTAGCGACGCGTTACAACATGTTAGGCTGGGTCAAGCCACGTAGCAGTGTTTTGAATGGAGGGTTGTCTGTCCGAGGCGCAGGGGTGGGAGGATATATGGCGCAGCGTACATAGGAGATCAGTGCTGGGGTGTAGGAGGTAGTCAGATCAAAACTAGGGTTGGTGCCAGGGTTGGTGCCAAGGTTGGAAACAGGGTTGGAGCTAGGGTTAAGGTATCGGGTTTGGGGGGGAGGTGAGGCCGGCTTCGTTGTTACCCGCTCGACCAGGATAGTAACGAGCGGGGAGACAGTGGTACTTTTGAGGCGCCTCAAAACTCGACCAGGAGAACAACGAGCTGGGGGACAGTGGTAGCAGGGCAGCGGAGGTGTCGTTTTTTTCTTAGTCGCGTGGCACTGTACTTGGGCGCCGTTGATTTATAGCAAGATTTATATATAATTGCGATTAGCATTGTGAAGCTTCATCGCTGGGCGTATGGGCGTGTGCGCGTCTATCTGCAATGGCGGCTCGCAGGAGGAGAAGAAAGCACCTCGTAAGTGTGATAGCTGGTTGGCCTCTGAGCAAGAGCGCATCTGTAACAGAAAAGGGAGAACGCACTCTCCACCTGGGAGGTGTGTGGGCGTGTGCGCTTCCATGTGCAACGATTCGATTTTTGAGTCTACTAAAATTTTGAAAAATTCGAGTCGACAAAAAAATCGACTTATCACACACAGCGTACGGGCGTGTGCGCGTCTATGTGCAATGGCGGGTCGCAGGAGGAGAAGGAAGCACTCTGTAAGTGTTAGTTGGTCGGTTGGTCTCTGGGCCGATTTCTGAGGCGCCTAAAAAGTCGTCAAAAGCACCTCGTAAGTGATAGCTGGTTGGTCTCTTCAGCCGACTTTATTATAGTCTGTTGGTTTGTCCCCCTAGTGACTTTCGAGTCTGACTCAAAAGTCACCTGAGTTTTTTACTATCTGCTGGTTTGTCCCCCTTGTCTTCGCCCTTCCCCTTATCCTCGCCCTTCCCCTTGTCTTCGCCCTTCCCCTTGTCTTCGCCCTTCCCCTTGTCTTCGCCCTTCCCCTTATCCTCTTCCCTCTCCACGCCTCCCCTCTCCTCCCCCCTACCCGTTCCACGTGTCACTACCACAGAAGCCACGCTCCACGTGTCATTACCAGAGGAGTTTAAGTACGAGGCGCTAGTAGCGGTTGTCGTCTCACCCTCCCCACCCCTTCCCCCGCCCCGTCCCTTCTTTCCCCGTCTTCTCCCGTTCCCCACCCTCTCCCCTCTCCTCCCCCCACCCCATGCCACGTGTCGCTACCACAGAAGCCACGCTCCACGTGTCACTACCACAGGAGTTTAAGTACGAGGTGCTAGTAGCAGCAACTAACAATTTCGACCAATCAGCGGTGCTGGGCGAAGGGGGGTTCGGGAAGGTCTACAAGGCCGTGATTCGCGGAGGCAAGGGGGAAGAGAATGGGGAGGGTGGAGAGGGGAAGGGAGAAGGTGCGGCGGCGGCGGTTGCGGGACAGGCAGTGGCGATTAAAGTGCTGAATAGTTCTGGGAAGACGAGCGGTTACCGGGAATGGGTGGTGAGTATCATAGTCTATTTCTTTGGCTCCTCTCCTCTCCCCCTTCTCCCCTTTCTCCCCCTCCCCCTCTCCCCCCCCCCCCCTTCCTTTTCTCAAACCTGGTCTAATTGTGTGGCTTTAAGTTTACTTGACGGTTACCTCACTCCCTTAACAGTTGCTTACAGCAAGATGGCTTTGTCCACCCATCCCATCCTAACCCCAAAACTTTTCCAAACCCTGAACGTTGGTTCTACAGACGGAATGCTGATGCTAGAGCGTCTCTTATAACCCTAACCTCGTCAATCTGCCATCTTCTCTTCATCCCTTCCCCTCTCCCCACACCACTTTTCCCTCTACCCCCCCCCCCCCCCCCCCCCCCACCCTTCCCCCCTTCTCCTACTCTTCCTCCCTGCTTCCCTTATCACAGACGGAAGTGTTGATGCTAGAGCGCCTTTCCCACCCCAACCTCGTCAGCCTTCGTGGCTACTGCGCTCACGGCGAGATGGCATTCCTGGTCTATGAATACGTGCCCAATCGCGCCCTCAACTACCATCTGTTCTCCAGTGAGTGACTGGTTACCACCGCCGTTCCCCCCTCGCCCTCCCCCTGCTGCCTTACCTTTGAGTCTGCCAAACGAGCCTGCTTGCGAGATGGCATTCCTGGTCTATAAATACGTGCCCAATCGCGCCCTCAACTACCATCTGTTCTCCAGTGAGTGGTTACCACCTCCGCTGCTATGTTCCTTTCTCCTTCTGAATCTTTTCCTCCTCTCCCACTCTCCCCGTCCGTTTTCCTGTGTTCACCACAACTGCTGACAATGTGATTCCCCTGTCATGGCAGCAGCGGCTGCAGACAGCTGTGGGGGCGGCAACGGGGCTGCTATCGCCCCATCGCTTACCGATAATCCACCCCTGCTTCGTCACCCGCCCTGTCTGTCTGAACAACAGCTGCAGACAACGTCATTCCCCTGTCATGGCAGCAGCGGGTGCAGATAGCTGTGGGGCCGCAACGGGGTTGCTATCGCTTTCACTTACCAATACTGCTCCACCCTTCCGCTCCGCACCCTGTTTGAACTCGCAGCTGCTGACAATGTGATTCCCCTGTCATGGCAGCAGCGGGTGCAGATAGCTGTGGGGGCAGCAACGGGGTTGCACCATCTGCACGAGAGGAACATCATTCACCGCGACTTCAAGTCATCTAACATCCTGCTTGACGATGTGAGTGGGTGATTGGTGTGTCACATGTGCTGTCTACCACGCAAGGGGAAGAGGGGGGGAAGGGGAGGGAGGGGAGGGAGATCGTGACAACTGCTCTGCACCATCTGCACGAGAGGAACATCATTCAACGGGATTTCAAATTATTGAATATCCTGCTTGATGATGTGAGTGGGCAGTTGGTGTGCCATGCCATCTAACACACAACGGGGGGGGGGGGGGGGGGGGGAGGGAGTGGGGGCGGGAAGGGGGGAGCTGGGGGCAACGGGGGGGATTGCACCATCTGCTCGAGAGGGACATCATTCACCGCGACTTCAAATCGTCCAGTATCCTGCTTGATGGTGTGAGTGGGTGGTGTGTATGCGCACGGATGCACGTGTGCGTGAGTATATGATGCACATATCTAGCCGTGGGGGCAGCATCAGGGTTGCACCATCTGCACGAGAGGAGAGGAACATCATTCGCTGCGACTTCAAATCGTCCAACATCAGATGTTGCCTCTCGCTCGGGGGAGACTACAAAGCTTCTACCTTCCTCTCGCTCCCTTCCTCACTTCCTTCCTCTCGTTTTGAGGCGCCTCAAAAATTCCTTCCTCACTCCCTTCCGCTCGATTACTCCCTTCCTCTCTCTCCGCCATTCATTCACAACTTGGTAGCCAAAGTGAGTGACTTTGGGTTGGCAAAGGTGGGCCCAGTGGGGGATCAGAGCTGGCTTTTCAGTTGACTACTCGGCATCTAGCTTCCTCCCTCTCTCTCCCTTTGTCTCTCCCTTTGTCTCTCCCTTTGTCTCTCCCTTTGTCTCTCCCTTTGGCTCTCCCGCTTCCCCTCCCTCTCTCCCCGCCCTGCATTCAGAACCTGGTGGCCAAAGTGAGCGACTTTGGGCTGGCAAAGGTGGGCCCGGTGGGGGACCAGAGCTACGTTGAGACCAAGGTGAAGGGCACGCCGGGCTACATCGACCCTGCTTACATGGAGAGAGGTGAGTGCGTAGGAGATGGTTACGGTATGACTGTGTGTGTCTGTCTGGGTCTGTAAGTTTACAACGTGGGACGGTGGGGGAGTCCCTTGTTGTGGCCCCGGTGGGGGATCAGAGCTACGTTGAGACCAAGGTGAAGGGCACGCCGGGCTACATCGACCCTGCTTACATGGAGAGAGGCAGCGACAGCGGCAGCTTGGCACAGAGGGTGTGGGAGGAGTCGAAGGTCTACACCCCATCCATACCTGATGCTCATTCTCCCTCATTTGCTTCCCCACTCTTCCCTGTTTGCTGTTCCCCTCCCTTCTCCCTTCCCTCCAGGACGCCTCACGGTGAAATCAGATGTGTATGCATTTGGAGTGGTGCTGCTAGAGCTCTGCTGACAGTGTTAGGGAAACCCTTCTAAACTTGCTCCTTTCCCCCTCCCTCCTACCCCCAACCCTCCCCTCAGGTCGCCTGACGGTGAAATCGGACGTGTATGCTTTCAGGTTGGTTTTGCTAGAGCGGCTTCATATGATAGTGGAACCAACCAACCTACCTCCCGCCTGCCCGTCACTCTTCCCCGCAGGTCGCCTGACTGTGAAATCTGATGTCTATGCGTTTGGAGTGGTATTGCTAGAGCTGCTGACGGGCCGGCATGCCACGGACAGTGACAGTGACAGCTTGGCACAGTGGGTGTGGGAGGAGTCAAAAGTTTTCACCCCATCCATACCTGATGCTCATGCTCCCTCATTTGCTTCCCCCTCTTCTTCTCTCCCTTGTTCGTGCGTCCCGTCTCTTCCCTGTTCGCCGTTCCCCTCCCTCCAATTTCCCTTCCCTTCAGGGCGCCTGACTGTGAAATCTGATGTCTATGCGTTTGGAGTGGTGCTGCTGGAGCTGCTGACGGGCCGGCATGCCACAGACAGTGACAGCGGCAGCTTGGCGCAGTGGGTGTGGGAGGAATCTAAGGTCTACACCCCATCCATAGTTGACGCGAGAATAAAAGACGGGTATTCGGACAAGGGCGGGAGAAAGTTTTTTGCGCTTGCCCGCGCGTGCATAAATGTGAACACGGAGCCTCGACCAGAGATGAGTGATGTGCTGAGTACACTCAATCTGATAAGTAAGATGTGAGGGTATGTGGGATGGGACGGGATGGGATGGGAGAATCCAAGTTGGAATAGTAACTTGTGATCGCCTCTTTTGGCTGCATCTTATAAAACTGGTAATCCACGATCAAAAGACAAACTAATAACACTACTACTGTAGTTATTCAAGTCACCAAGCACAGTGGAGTGACGTTAGCTGACACTGATAAACAGTGTTACATAACATAATCTATGTGCGACTGTTGTGCTACCAACGTGCTCGCAGGGCTCTAGTTGCGACACCACCACCCTTCATAGAGTGGGGAGCGATTTTTGTAAACCCCACGAAAAGCACAATGAACATAAACGAGACAGCTTCACGGGACAGACCAGCTGCACCACAGACCCTTGGAGAACCACACAACCACCAAAAACATACCACAGACGAAGAATCCCAGGCTTCTAAGAAGGCTAAAAAGCGACTCCCAAAATTACACGACCACCCAACCGTACCGCAGACCTAGGATCCCAGCTTTCTTCCTCTCCCCTTGGTCCTGCTCCTCCTTTTTGCTGTTGCCAGTGCTGCTGCTGGTGCTCACGTTACTCCTCCTGCTCATACTACTGATACTCATGCTGCTGATGCTGCTGATATTTGTCATGTCAACCTTCCGGAACCCTCTGACGCTCACAGCAGCAGGGGCAGTCACGGGTCTGTGGGACTTGATATTCTCACTGTCATTGTTATCGTCGTTATACTCCTCCTTGGCATCTTTCCCCGTGTGCTCTCTCCCCTCAGGCTCTTCAAGAACCGGCAGGGAAGGTTCATCAGCAGCAGCACCATTAGCAGCGGTGGTAACAGTGGTGGCAGCAGTAGCAGCAGCGTCAGCATCGATGGCAGCGGTCGCAACAGCAGCAGCAGCTTCAAGACCACCATTTGCGGAAACAGTGATAACCAGGGACTCCCCTTCTTGCTGCTGCTGCACCTGCTGCTGCTCCTGTGTGCTTGCCTGCTCCCCCCCTAGGCCTCTCCCACTCCCTGCAGCGCCAAGCCCAGCCCACATTGCCACGCGGTTAACGAAACTCGACGAGGCAGAAAGCTGAGCAGTCGCAGGCTCTACCACACCCTTTTGACCCGCCGAACCCTCTTCTACCACCTGTTGTTGCTGCTGCTGCATCATTGGCAGCTGTTGCTGCTGTGGCTGCTGCTGCTGTGGCTGCTGCTGCTGCTGCGGCTGCTGCTGCTGGGGTGGCTGCTGCTGCTGGTACTGATGCAGGGCGGAGAGGTCGATAGACCCAAACATGGGGCTTGTATTAAAAGCCGCGAAATGAAGGGAAGCTCGAGCCGGCTCCCAGGAGGGAGAACCGGCGAGCAGGCGTGTTGGCGGGGGGCTGGATGCGAGGTGACGTGCTGGGCTCGGGGGAGAATCCGCCTGTGCCGCATGAAGCATCCGAGAGGCTGCGAGTGTCGTATGGCTCTGAGTCAGAGCACGCGTGATTGTTATGATTGTCATCCTCCTTGTCGTTCTGGTTGTTCTGGTGAGTGTCCATGTGATGATGGCTGTCCGGGTGAGGGTGGCTCAGAAGGGCGTTTTCTGGGAGAGATTCGATTGCATGAGCGTCGATGGGCGGGTGGTGGTGGGGGTTCTCTTGAGGCTTGGCGGAGGGTTTGGAGTGCCATTGCTGCCACTGCTGCAGGAGCGAGGGCTTGAGCGTGGAGACTGGTTGGGCGTCTTGAGAGACTGACGTGTTGGCCCTGGGAAGCTGCGCCTTGGCTTGTGGCCCCACCACTATATCCTCCATCATCTCATACACCTACAAGGAGGGAGGACGGAGAGCGGAGACAGGGAGGGAGCACAGAGAGAGAGGGCAGAGAGGGAGCGGAAAGAGGAAGAGAGGGCAACAGGTTAAGGAGAAATGTAACCAGTTGCCCCACCACTATGCCCTCCAACATCTCATACACGTGCGAGAGGGGGAAAGGAGAAGGTGGGGTGTGAACGAGAGGGGGTCAGAGGAACGGAATGCACAGGTGGGGAGCTGCGACTGGGCCTATGTCCCCACCAGTGCGCCTAGAAAATTTGACAAAAATTGCACCATACGACAGACATAGAAGAAGCACATGAGCAATCCAGGCAAAGGCTACTCACGAGGCACACGTTGGTCATCTTGTCATCGCTCATGCCCCTCATGCACGCCCCAGCCACGTAGCGGCAGCACTCCGCCACTCGTGCTCTGATATGCCCATCCGCTGCTGCCTGCACACACGCCTCCCCTTCCCCCTCCTCCTCCCCCCATTCCTCCTCCCCCCTTACTTCCTCCAACTCCTGCCCTGCTGCTGTTGCACTGTCAATGTCAACACCATTGACACGCACCCAGCTGTCCTGTCGTCTTGCAGGGAGAGACGAGGAGGAGGTGGTGGGGGGGGGAGTGTGGTATGCTGAGGCAGCAGCTGAGAAGCCAACGGCAACGAGAACGGTGAAGAGCTCTGCAAAGAGGTGCGATGGGGGGATGCTCTCCAACCAGCTAAGGCTCTTTTCCCTGGAGGAGTGGAAGAGGGGAGGAGGGAAATGGAAGGAAAACACAGTCTGAACAGCTGAGGCAGGGGAGGAGCAAAGAGGAAGAAAGGAGGGAGGAGAGCGAACGGGATCTAAAAGCAGGTGAAATAGAAATGGCAGCACCAGCAGAGGAAGGAGTGACAAAGAGCACTACCCAATCAAGGGGGGTTGTGTAAAGGGAAGAAGCAGGGAGGCTCACGCAGCATAGTCGTAGTCCACCAATGGGGGCTGAAGAGCGATGGGCAGCGGTCGAGCGCGGTTCCACAGCTGCTGCCACAGGTTATCTGCCAGGCACATTAGAGGAAAGCTCTTGTGAAAATACAATAATTTGACAAAAAGGACAAATCTGCTACTGTCAAAAAGGAAAGAGTGGAACAGTGATAACCAGGGATCATTTACTCACCAGAAGCCTTCATGCGCACGCTGAGGTATCCTGTCTTTTTGGGTGTGCAGTCAAGTATTCCCCCCACAGCACCCCTTGCAGCCTGTCCCTCCCTCTCTCCGCCGTGAGTAGCGGCACTGGAAGGAGCATAGGGAGTCTTTGCGTCTGGAGCGAGTTCACCAGTGGAGGAGGAGGGCGAGGGGGAGTGTAGAGCGGGTGTTTGTACAGGAGGAGGGTTAGTGGATGGTGCATGGGGAGAAGGCACGTGGAGCGAGGGCGAGTGGACGGAGGGCGACTGGGGGAGAGGCGACCAGTCGGGGGGGGAGTACCAGCGAACAAAGTCCTCCAAGACACACCCAGGGTTGGCCGCCTGTGGGGGAATGGGGGTGGATAAAAGGGAGAAGGGGAGAGAAAGAGGAGGTACAGCATGAGAGGGGGCAGGGCATAAGTGGGGACCCATATGGCAGAAAAGTCACTTGTTTCCACTGAAACACTGAAAGTGGACTTTATCCTTGCATGAGTCCAGCACGCTTTGGAGCTCACTGCTCTGCACGTTTCACTCTAAATGTATGGATGGTTGCCTTGCCCCTCTGCACCGCTGCTCACCTTGAAGGATTGCATGTCCGAGAAGAGCTGCTTGTGACCAGTGCCAAAGCTGCACACGGCACAAACACACATCAGGGGCGGGATAACGCACAAGACGACACACATCAGGGGCGGGATAACGCACAAGACGCAAGCTTAACATAGGCCGCAATGCTCTGATGGGAATTCTCCTAGGAAGAAAATTGAAGGATTCGAACCAACGCACGTCACTCACATGCTGACCCCCTCCCACTCATCTCTTGGTGTGCTGATAAGCTCCTTGCTCTCCTTTCTCTGCCTGCTCTCCCACACACTCGACTCTTTCATCAGCAGCCCGTCCTGAGTCGCATTCATACGCGTTACTAGCTTCTCCCACTCACCTCCTTTTGCGCATGATAAGCTCCTCGCTCTCCCGCACACTCGATTCGGTCATCAGGGGCCCATCCTGAGTCACAGGGGACACACAGGGGCTCGCCTACCACTCCATACGCGTTACTAGCTTCTCCCACTCACCTCTTTGTGCGCATGATAAGCTCCTCGCTCTCTCGCACGCTAGACTCAGTCATCAGCGGCCCGTCCTGAGTCACAGGAATGCACAGAGGCTCGCCTGTCTCCAGCAGCCGAAGACTCTTTGACTGCTCCTTCACGCCTCTCCTCAGCACACGCTTCCCTGACTGCACTCGCGCATAGCATGCATCTAGGTGATACTCTTCTGCTGCTGCCCCTGCTGCTGCCCCTGGCGCTGCTTGTGCTTCTGCTCTGCTGCCTTCCAGCCCAGCATTCTCCCCAGGCGGGTGATTCCCACATGGCAGAGAACACGTGTCACACAGGAACAGGTGCTGACCTGGACAGTCTCGATTCCAGCATGGCCCCGCTGCCAGCTCATCATCCCCTGCATGCACACTCAAACTTCTGACCGCCCCAGATGCCACGTCGTCACCAGCTGCTGCTCCTGCTGCTGCTGCTGTTGCTGCTGCTGCTTCTGTGTGAGCCTCCTCTGATGGTTTCGTGATGCAGTCACAGGGTTCCATGCCGTCAGCTTCAGGCACGACGCATGTGCCTTCACTGCTGCAATTCGCAAATTCAGAATCTGCCTCGTGTGCTGCCAGTGTTTCCAGTGTCTCCTCTGCTCTGCTCTGCTCCTCGGCTCCTCCTACGCATACGTCTACACCAAAACTCGCACTTCTCACCGCAGCAACAGCGTCCCCTGAAGCATCACAACGATCTGAAACACAAGCAGCACCTTCTGACAGAGACTCCCTGATCTTCCTGCTGCTACCCCTAACCACACCACCACCACCATCACCACCAGCAGCACCTGTTCCTGCTGCTGCTGAGCCTGGGAGTTTGCAAGCGAACCCAATGGCTTTGCGTCTACGCTGGCGGGCGATGCAGCAGTTGAGCAGCTGCAGGTGCTGCATCACCTCGCACAGCCGCAGGTCAGGCCCGTCCCTGCCCGCTGCTACATGCGGCACCGGCACTCCCTGCTTCCGCCGCACCCGCAGCTGCCAGGAAAGAAAAAAAAAAGTGGTTAGCCATGAGAGAGGATAAACGGGAAGGGGAAGAGACAGGAAACCGAATCACCATCTATGGGGCAAGGGCAAAGACAGGAGATCTCAAGCCGCAGCAGCGCTCGTGCGATAGTTGCACCAGCAGTTGTACCACGGACACCTGACTCAACTGCTCCACCAGCGCCCAAAAAGTGGACCCAGCAGCTCACCTGCTTTACGAAACCCCCAGCCCCAAAATACTTGCCTCAAAAATTGCACTGACAGCTCACTCACCTGTTCTACCAGAGCAAGCCACAGCTGCGCCATGTCCTTCTCAGAGGGCAGCTCCGCCATGAGCGCCGCCACCTGCGCCACAAAGCTGCCCGGATATGCCCCGTGCACTGAGTGCACCAGGGCGGTTACTGCTGATGGGGCGGCGTCGCTCGGCTTTTCCTGGGGGGGCTTGCTGTTGCTTCCGCTGCTGCTGCTGCTGGTGAAAGAGTCGCAGCTGCAGTCAAAGGCGTTGTCCTCTCCTGTTGTTTAAAAGAACGCACAAAAATGCAATCAGCGAGAGTTATGTTTGTATAAATGCTCGGTACCCGACTGCAATATGAGGGGGAGGAGGGGGAGGAAAGGGGGGGGACTTCTGTTCACAACTTTGTATATCGAGGCCGTGAGTGGAATATGCGCACAAGACAAGACAGAGACAAGAAATCACAACTCACATGACTCTGGCCTGACATCAAGTACAGAGATACGTTCGTGGGCCGTGGCAATGTAGGCAGTGGAAAGAAATCTTCAGTAAACCTGGACTCCAAGAATTCTAGCGAATAGCTCCAACATAACAATGCAACCAGTACTTGCTGCTACCAACCTGAGCTTAGAAGCCTCTGAATCATGTCATCCGTGCTGTCAACGTCGTTTACATTCGATATGGACGAGAGGGAGAAGGCTCGGCCAATCCCAGCTCCCACAGCCTGCGCGAGGGCGGTCCCTGGCCACTTGCCGTTATGGTTCACCAAGTCCTTGAGCGTCGCAAACGGAGCCGAGTAGCTGCGCACACAGAGATTCCGTCACGTCGTGGAGGCGGAAGGGTTGCCTTACAGGTTGCAACGGGTTTCCTCAGAACAAGTGTGAGAATCTAGTTAGCCAACAGGGTTCGAAAGACTTCGCCAAGTCCGAGGCTAAGCAAGGTGGAATTTACTACGGCTGATGGTGGTAGATGGTGGTATGCGGTGGTTTCGTCACCACGGACGTACCTGACAGCCTGGGCGAGATTCCGCAGGTGTGCAGACGATGGGATGTTCGGAGGATCCACGTTTCCTACGCTGCACACGCTTGTCGTTGTGCTGCAGGTGCTCCCATTCAGGTCCTGTGAATACAGTACAGTACAGTACAATGTCAATACACTGCAGAAATCTGCAAATCATATAGATAAAGTTCGAGTAAGCTTCTGAATCCCAGGGCAATTAACGCTGTCGCTGATTCTCTTTTCAATTAACAATTTCCAATAGCTTCATCGCTTCTTGTTATGCTTCATGAGCTTACCCGTTCCTTGGGATGCCACATGGGAAGCGAAAATAGCCGTCCGTGCGAGCCCACACTGGCAGGGGAGCCGAGGGGGGAAGGGTCCGCAGCACCCCAGTCCTCCTCGTGCTCTAATTCCAGCTCCACCTTAGCCACCACGAAGAAGTATCGTTTCCAAAACTCCCTCTCCGAGACCAGCCGAGGCACGAATTCCGAAAAGATTCTGCTCAGGTGATCGTCCGCCTGAAAGTAGGGACAACACGGGATCAGTGCGTTCCCAGACGTCTCGAAATTTGGAAACTGTGACCAGAAATAATCACAGAGGACGATCGAAGAAACCGTGTGATGTGGACAGTGGGTTTAGTAGACAAAAGGGTGTCAGAATTCAATGGGTTTCTAAGTGGTATTTGTAGTGGAGCATTAATCGACATCTCGACGGTACTACCTCGAGAATGGCTGGAGCAGAGAGCAACGCGCTCTCGAGATTCACGTAGTGCTCCGCGCGGTCGTCTGATACCCCCACCATGAGAAACTTTTGCGGTTCCTGATGACATCAGAACGAATACTTAGGATGAGGCCACGTGCCTAGTTGATAACAATGAAACTCTTCCTCCTCTCAATCCCCTCTCACGAAAAACACGCACAGAACAAAAAGAAAATAACCAAAATGATAAAGCGACCTATGCAGTTCTATACCTTTGACAGCTCAGCGACTCTTCTGCTGAGTTCTTCCGAATGGCTGGTCCTGGGGCTCGCCTTGAGCAACCACGGATAACCCCACCCTGCACATTCCCAACGGCCGAGCTCTTAGCGAAGGCTCTAGTGAAGCACTACAGAGTCGAGTTGACCTACTACTCTTTGTGAGTTAGCAGTTCAGAAATTTAGGTAGAGGTTGAGGTGAGCACCATGAGAAGGCTGGGGGGGGGTCGGTGGGGATGTCGGAAGGCTGGATGGAGCTGGCGCTTCAGACGGAGGTGCGTCGCGTCTTAAATCCGTGAATGCGCGCTTAGCCTTCGTAGTTGCTACTTGAAAAGCTGCATCCACAGAGGTTCACCTCTTTCAGTGAACGTCCTTAAACAAACTAAGACACTCGCGAGCGGCGAAGGTAAGATAACTAACGAAAGGCTTGCTAACTCACCTGATGTGGCTTTGGAAACGAAGTCTAGGGTTGACATTTGAGAACTATCAGCGACATCAGAATTCTTCTGTTCAGTCATCTTAGCTTCCGAACGCTTCACCTGAAGGAGTCTAACGTCAGGAATGCGAACGTTTGGGACTTTAACCTCCGGGAATCTGACTTCTGCCATCATCCTAGCCGGCGAAAACTTCGCGAACGAGCTACGCTCCTTCTGCGAAGAAGCACGCCGAAGCTCTGGTTCTCCGGTCTGATCCTTGTACCACGTAGGCAAAGTCATCCTAGCCATCTAAAGGTTGAATGACTCAATGCCAAGTGCTCTAAGGGGAAACTGTCGGCAACAGCCGAATGGAGGAGGTGCGAGACTGACGGACTGTCACGGTAGCTACTAGGACAGGAAATTTGTCCACCAGCATTTGGGAGTCATTCCCCCGGAATTTGCGGAGTCCTCAATCGGTTCTGGACAGGGAAGAGGAAACGAGCTAGCATCCCAGTCCGGTGGGTACTGACATGACGTGACTGGTCAATCAAGTTTGACGCCATTGGGATTTGGGACTGAGGAAGAGGTGGAAAAGCATATTGCTGAAGTACCTCGCCACAAGCTAGTGGGATGGGAACTGATGGAAGATAAAACATTGTAGGAAACGTAAACGGTGGAGTAGGTTAAAGCGCGATTTAGAAGGATGAGTCAGGGTGCTGACTCAGACAAGAGGGATGGTATGGTTTGGATATGAAGAACCGACGCACTTTTCCTAGATTGGTGACTTTGGAGGGAAACCAGAGGTACATCTTGCCCGGCAGAGTTAACGTCGTCACCTGTGTTGTCGCGTAAATTTGACGGTTTCGGTGTAGCTGAACGTCTGGTTTGGAGTCGTTGGCACAGTCACCTTCGCCACTTCCCGTCAAAGACCAATTTGTCAGCAATGACAAAACGTCAACTCTTGCAGCCGTCATGTCATTCCGACACATTGCCGACAGTCGCCAGGATTTGCCAGCGTGATCTGCGGTAACTGGGACCGCAGATTTGGTGTGTTGTCCTGCGACTGGTTTGGTTGGTGAGCGTGGGGGGAACTGCGTCGAAGCTCCATCGGCCCGCCCTGAACGATCGATCGACAGGCGGGCGATGCCGACGGTGACGGGATGGGTGGGATGGTTGTGTTGCAAATAATTGGCTTCCCGCCAGAAATGCGGCTAGCGACTTATCATGAAGGGTTATGACTTACTGTACAAGAAAAACGGTTCGTTTTCATTACAAAAAAAATGAAATAAGTTCTTTCTCGCTGTGGGAATGACAGGATTCCACTCGAAATAAGGTCGTATCCCGGGCTGGTGGCAAGATACTGTTGGTGGCATGACACCAACTCGAAAAACGCCTGGAGGAATATACCTCCTCGTGCCAGCTAAACCGGCCAATCTGATCGCGGGAAATCGTGCAATGTGCCCAACATTGACGACACCAACCTGGAGCCGCACTCACGCGCGGCTCCACCTGGTGTCAAGCGAATTTCCCGCTTGCCACCAACAGTATCTTGCCATCAGCCCAGGATACGACCTAAGATGGCACAGGGTGTGGTTGTCACCTTGGTGTGAGTAATGAAGCAATAGCCACTTCGTTCTCCAAATTCCGTAACGTTCGGTCGTGCCTAACATGATTAGCTTGTTGCACCAAACAAAGAAATGCAGCGATCGTTCTCCAGTCTGTGTAGAGGTAGATACATAGTTGTCCTTCCCTTCAGGACAATTCTATGTCACCTGCCTCCCTTAGCTGCTCCCTCTCCTACGATTCCCTAGTCTATCCCTTCTCTCCTTCCATCTCGAAACCTTTTCTTCTCTTCAACTCCCACCACCTCTTCCCCTTCCTTATCTCCCATGCCCGTCCTTGTATCTGCACCCAAGCTCCCCGCTTTCCCCTCCTTCAGTCCCTCCCCACTGTCAACTGCCCCTCCCCCCCACATCACCCCCCACGCCACATCTGCCAATCCTTCAAACCCAGGCCACCCCGAATCTCCCATCCCATCCTTACCCTCCTTCCCCTCCTTCCCCCCTTCCACACCCTCTCCCGCACCCCACCATCCCGTTCCCATAACCCAACCCCCACTCCCTCCGCCAAACGAACCAAACCCACCAAACCCACCAGTCCCACCTGCCCCTGCTGCACCCTCCATCAGCTTCTCCAGCCCAATAAGAGGCACAGGGGGGGAGTACCTGGGGAGGCTCAGCTTGGCTTGCTTCAGCTGGCAGGCCATCACAGGCTTGGGGGTGGAGGGGGGCCGCCAGAATTCTCTCGAGGCAGAATAGACGGCCACAGCTGCTCGGATCGACTCGCCGGGGGACACTGGTGCTGCTACAGCCGCCGCTGCTGCTGACAGAAGAGAGCTTTCACTCTTCACTCGCACACTCCTCCTGCCTTGCCTCTTCTCACTACTCTCCTCCTTGTTGCTTCCCCATTGCTCCTGGTTGCCCCCCTCATTGCTCTCCCCATTGCTCCCACTCCACACCCAATCGGTCTCCCCATACTTTTCCCTGTCTCTTTCCTCGTTGTTTCCGCCAGCCCTCCCCTGCAGAAGGGCGGTCTCCTGGCGGTGCTCCAGCAGGGCGCGCTCTGGAAAGGAGAGCAGCGAGCGGGAGATGCGCAGCGAGCGAGGGAGCGACCGCTTGGTCCAGTGGGGCAGGCCGGGGAGAAACAGGCCGGCCCCCACCCCCATGTGTCCTCCTCCCATGCCCTCCTGCTCATTCAGGGTTGATGACGCAATGCTTGATGACGCACCCATGCTCTCATGCCATCGCCTCAAGCGAGACTCAAGTGACTCCTGCCCCTCCTTCTCTGCCTCCCCCTGCTGCTGCTGCTGCTGCTGCTTCTTCTTCTTCTGTTGCTTCTGTTTCTCCTGGCACTTCTGCTGCTGCTGCTGCTGCTGCTCCTTCTTCTCGCAAGGCTGGTGATTTGAGAACACGAGACGACTGTGGGGAAGGCAGTGGGGACAGCAACCCATCGGAGAGAGGGCAGGTGGAGGTGCGATGGAGCCTTCTCCAAGCACCTGCCTGTTGGGCTGCTGCTGCTGCTGCTGCTGCTGATACTCCAGGTGCTGCTGCTGCTGCTGATACTCCAGGTGCTGCTGTTGCTGCTAGTAGGTGCACAAGGCAGGACGGCATGGTCTTAACATCAGGACAGGTGGATGTGCGGTGGAGCCTTCTAGAAACACCCGCGCCTTCAGCAAAAGCAGCGGCATGAGTCCAAGCCACACTGCCCGGGTGGGAGGAGAGGATGATGGGTACAGGCGAGATGTCACATACACTCAAGATTCGCTCACACACCAGACTCGCACTCCCCACACTCCGCACACTCCCCAACACACTGCCCGCACGCCCCACACTGCCTACCAGGCTTGCGCTGCTCAAGCTGTTGCCCCGCTGCAAAGCCCGTTTAAAGGCACTGCCTTTGCTTTCCCAGCCGTCTCTGCTGCTCCAGCCGTCTCTGCAGCTCCATCCATCTTCACTGGAAGTGTCTTCCTCCAAATTAGTCAACGAAGGAGCATCCCCATTTAACAAAGGAGCATCACCATACACACACTCAGCAAGTTTTTCGTTATAAGCACACCCATTACCACCATCTTCCGCCTCCTCTCCCTCCTCCTCACACTTATGCTGCTCCTCATCCCCGGTCTCCCAGTTTTCCTTCCTGAACTGCTTCCCCGATCTGAGAGGATTACCCCTCTCACCCACGTCCCTCCAACCTTCCTCACACATCTGCTGCTCCTCCTCCTCTTCCTCAGCCTTATGCTTCCTCTCAACCGTGTCATTCCGCTCATTCTCCCTCTCTTCCTCCTCGGGTCCCACACCCCTCTCACCCACGTCCCTCCAACCTTCCTCACACATCTGCTGCTGCTCCTCTTCCTCCTCTGCTTCCTCCTCCCTCTCTTCCTCCCCAATCTCCGCACCCCTCTTAACCATCTCCCCCCACTCCTTCTCCCTCTCTTCCTCCTCACTCTCTTCCTTTTCGAGTTCCGCACCCCTCTCACACTCGTCCCTCCGTTCTTCGTCACACTTCTGCCGCTCCTCCTCTTCCTCCGCCCACCGTTCCTCCTCCCTCACTTCCTCCTCCTCCTCTTCCTCCTCGAATACCACATCCCTCTTCTCCACGTCCCTCCAATCCTCCTCACGCTTCTGATGCTTCCGCTCCTCCTCCTCAATACCATCACTGGTTGTAGCATCAATGGTTGTATCATCAGTGGTTGTAGCAGCAGCGGCTGTAGCAGCACCAATTGTAGCAGCAGGGGTTGTAGCAGCAGGGGTTGTAGCAGCAGCGGTTGCTGCAGCATCAGCACAAGAAGCAGCAGCAAGAGTAGCAGCAGGGGGAAGGAAGGAGAGGGCGGCATTCTCAGGAGTGACATTGGCTATAGCAGCACCGTTTGTAGCAGCAGCAGCTGTAGGCGCGCCGGCTGTAGCAGGGGCAAGGAGGGCGATTGCAGCAGCAAGGATACATGCGAGAGCCATCCCTGCCGTCACCGGCAATGGCTGACCCGCCACCAGCCCTGTGGCTGCTGGTGCTGCCTTTGGGGAGGGCTCTGAAGCAATCCCTGCCATCACCGGCAACGGCTGACCCGCCACCAGCCCTGTGGCTGCTGGTGCTGCCTTTGGGGAGGGCTCTGAAGCAATCCCTGCCGTCACCGGCAATGGCTGACTCGCCACCACCTCTGCTTCTGCTGTCTTGAACGTACCGCTACTGCTGTTGCTGCTACCACTGAAACTTGTACATGCCAGAGCGATCCCCTCATTAACCAGCAACGGCTTATGGACCAATTTGCAGGGAGATTTGTCTACATCTGTGGCAGCAGGAGCATGGCAACATCTGTCTTCACCTGCATCAGACACACTCGCGCTGTCAGCTGCCCCACCAGCCGCCCCACCAGCCGCCCCACCAGCCGCCCCACCAGCCGCCCCACCAGCCGCCCCACCAGCCGCTCCACCAGCCGCCCCACCAGCCGCCCCGCCACCAGTCGCCCCTCCATCCACCCAACCAGCCACCCCAGGAGATGCCCCAGCGGCAGCATGCAGAGAGCGAAAGGAGCCCCCAAAGGCAGACTGCAACGGATCAGGAGCATGCAGAGGAGACGGGGAATCTGGGTCGGGGAAAGGTGCGGCCTGAATCCGATCCCGCCCAGCCGCCTTTTGAGCCGCATTTTTAGTCCCCTCCTCATGCAGAGGAGTGGGGTCCAAGTCCGGGAAAGGTGCGACCTGGCTCTGCCATTTCCCGCGGCTCTTCCCGAACAGCCTGCGCACTGCCTTGCGTATGCTGCTGTTGCCGCTGCTCTTCTCACCAGCACCGCCACCGCCGCCACTATCACCACCGCCACCACCACTGCCAGCTGTGTTCCCCGGTAACGTGTTGCTGCCATCACTGTTGCTGCTGTCAGCTTCACATGCCTTGCTGAGCCGCTGTGCTATCGTACTTGCTTCAGTTTCTTCCAATGCTTCAGTTGCTTCAAGTGAACTGAAAGCAATAGTAGCGCCACCACCACCGCCACCGCTAGCAGAAGCAGCAGCAGCAGCAGCAGCACCAGCCGCAGCAGCAGCAGCAGAATCAGCACCACCACCAATACCACCGCCACCACCACCGCCATACCCTTCCCTATCACTCCTATCACTTTCATCACCCCTATCATTGCCCACATCCACACGGTTCTCACCAGCCATCACACACAGCTGCCTCCTCACTCCTCCTCTCCTCCTCCCACTCCCCTCGCCGTCACCGCCACCACACCCTTCCATACCACTCCTACCACTTTTAGAACTCCCATCAACCCTACCACCGCCATCCCTGCTCCAATCCACAGCTGCCTCACCAGCCACCTCCCACAGCTGCCTTCTCACACCTCCCCTCCTCCTCCCACTTCCCTCGCCACCGCACCCTTCCATACCACTCCAATCAACCGTATTACCCCTATCAATCCTATTACCGCTCACATCCACTGGCCTCCCACCACCCACCTCAAACAGCTGTCTCCTAGCTCCTCTCCTCCTCCTCTCACATCCCTCGCCAAAATCCGTCTGAGAACCCACCAGCCTCTCAGCACCCACCTCCCTCACCTGTCTCCTAGCTCCTCTCCTCCTCCCACATCCCTCACCAAAATCCGTCTGAGAACCTCCAGCCAACGAACGGCGCCCTGAAGGGGTGAGCGTCTGAGAGGAACCTTCAGCCAACGCACGGCGACCCATGCAGTCGCCATGCGGCACGGCATTGAGCCATGGGGTGGCATCGGCATCAAGCAGCCGCCACGCAGTCATCAGCGGCACCCCACTGCATGCTTCAGGGGTTTTGGTTGTGTTGGCTGTGTTGGGTGCTTCCAGAGTCTCAGGAAATCCTTCGGCTAGCGCACGGCGACCTGTTGTAGGGGTGGCATCGGCATCGAGCCGCCGCCACGCAGTCATCAGAGGCACCTCACTGCATACTTTTAGGGTTTTGGCCGTATTGGGCATTTCCTGTGTCTCAGGAAAACCATGAGTCAACGCATGGAGTCTCGTGGAGGTGGTGACAGCCGCATCGACCCGACCCTGTGGGGTTATCAGCTGCTGTTCACTGCGCGCCCTAGGGGAGTTGGCCCTGTTGGGCGTTTTCAAAGCTTTAGGCATCCTCTGCATGTTGGGCGTGGTGGACGTTTTGGGTGTTCTCGGCGTTCTCAGCGTTTCCCGTGGCTCGCTGCATCCCTTTGCGGATCTGGGAAGATCTGATCGTGCCTTCAGTGTCCTGGGCGCCCCAAACTGCCCATCCGGCGTGTCAAGTGCAGTGACTTTTGAGTCGACTCAAAAGTCACCTCCTTAGCGGATCCGAAAAGACCTGGAAGGTCAAATCTGGTGGCCTTCGGTGTCTTGGGCAGCCCAAACTGTCCTTCCTGCGTGTCAAGCAGCATACCTGCGCCAACCTCCCCCGACTTGCCCGACCGTTCCAGCTTCCCAGCCCTCCCAGCTGGGGTGTGAGACAGCAAGCCCCCACCAAGCTTCCCAGGTGGCGTGTTAAGCAGCATACCCGCGCCAACTTCCCCCGACTTGCCCAACCTTTCCAGCTTCCCAGCCCTCCCGGGCCATTTTTGTGACTCGCGTTCGGTCTGAGCAGAAATTTGGCGATAGTCGTACCTCGCTCCTCTCTCAACAGGAGAGCCGCTTATTTGGCCAACTTCCTTGGACGTCCCACAGCTGTCCAGCTTCCCAGCCTTCCCAGGCGGGAAATCAGCCAGCCGACCCACGCCATCCTCTCCCGAGTTGCCAGACCTTTCCAGCATCCCAGCCCTCCAGGGCCATTTTTGGGACTCACGTTTCGTCTGAGCAGAGATTGACCGGCGATAGTCGTACCTCCCTCTCCTCTCAACGGGAGAGGCGCTTATATTGGTTGCTGGAGGTTGGATTGAACTGAACGGAGAGGTTGAGGAGGAGAAGGGGAAGGGAGAGAACAAGGACGAGGGGAAACGAGAGGAGGGATGAGACGAAGGCAAGGGAGAGGGCGAGGGAGAGGGTAAGGGACAGCCCATACCAGGGGGAGGTTTCAAGGGAGGAGAGGCGGAGTGAGGAGAAAGGGAGGGGATAGTTGGCAGTGGGGCTGAGGGTGGGGCGTCCAAGAGAGGAAGGGGGATGAGGATGCGAAGGGAAGACGATCGGCGCTTTTGTTGCATACTGTTGGTGCTGTGGCTGTTGTTACCGCTGCTGTTGCTGCTGTGGCTGTTGTTACCGCTGCTGTTGGTGCTGTGGCTGTTGTTACCGCTCCTGTTGCTGCTGTGGCTGTTGTTACCGCTGCTGTTGCTGCTGTGGCTGTTGTTACCGCTGCTGTTGGTGCTGTGGCTGTTGTTACCGCTGCTGTTGGTGCTGTGGCTGTTTTTACCGCTGCTGTTGCTGCTGTGGCTGTTGTTACCGCTGCTGTTGGTGCTGTGGCTGTTGTTACCGCTCCTGTTGGTGCTGTGGCTGTTGTTACCGCTGCTGTTGCTGCTGTGGCTACTGTTACCGCTGCTGTTGGTGCTGTGGCTGTTTTTACCGCTGCTGTTGCTGCTGTGGCTGTTGTTATCGCTGCTGTTGCTGCTGTGGCTACTGGAGATTGTGGTGGGATGAGTGTCAGTGTTAATGGCACTGCTGCTGAAGAAGCTGCTGCTGCTGCTGCTACTACTGCTGCTGCTGCTGCTGCTGCCACTGCTGCTGTTGTAAAGTACAGACTGTGACACCGGCCGAGTGCGGTATGAGGACAAGGGTGAAAACACACGCAGAAGGCGGCGAGGGGTGAGAGGAGGGATTGGGGGACGCGGCAAGGAGTGGGGAGTGAGGGACTGGTGTCGACGCAGGAGGGAAGAGGAGGAGCGAGTGACAGGGGAGGGGGAGTCTAGTAGCATTCCGGTGGGGATTTCGAGTGCACACGACGAGGCTGATCGCCAGTTTCGTGTCAGGTTACCTCCCCCCTGCTGCTGCTGCTGCTGCTGCTGCTGCTGCTGCTGTTTCCCCTGCTGCATCTTCTGCTGCTTCTCCTGCTCCTGTTTCTCCAGCTGCTTCGGCTGAAGATGCCGCTGCCACTGCTCTTTCAAACGCGTCAACCCCCCTTGCAACTGCTTCTGCTGCTGCTCTTGTTTCATCTGCTTCTTCTTCTGCTGCTCTTGATTCATCTGCTTCTTCTGCTGCTGCTCTTGTTTCATCCGTTTCTCTGCATCCCGCCATCCTTCCTCACCTCCTCTCACCCACTCCCCTCCCCCACCACCACCCTCTTTTTCATATGCACGCTCCTCATCCCCCATATCATTAATCCTCGTTAATAACTCACTGACATCATCCGCACGCTCGTTTTCCCACCCTTCCTCCTCAATTTTGATAAAAATCTCCTTCTTCCTCATACCAAATCTGCCCGGCTCCGAGCCTGACCTTCGGTGCACGCGTTGCTGCTTCCGAGCCTGCTGGTTCCGAGGCTCGGCAGCAGCAGCAGCAGCAGCAACAGCACCAGCTCCAGAACCAGCACCAGCAACACCAGCAGCAGTGGGGACAGCAGGCACGGAGGAAGGTTGGGCGAAGGGCACGCGGGCGAATTCGCAGATGGCGTTGGTGAGCGTAGCGGAGGCCGTTTGCTCTGCGAGCTGCCTCAAATCCTTCAGTGCAACGCCGCCCCTCCCAATGCTGCTGCCCATGTTGCTGCCCATGCTGCTGCCCATGGTGTTGCTGCCCGAAGTGTTGCTGCTGCCCACCGTGCTGGTTGTCCTGCTGCTGCTGCGCTCACTGGTAGCAGCAGCAGCAGCAGCAGCAGTGGCGGTGGCGGCGGCAGTGCGTCCAGGCGGCATGGGCGGCGCCGATGGCGGCGATGGTGCGATGCAAGGGCGCTGGCTTCTCACGACCCGCGATGGTGCTTGGCGGATCGACTGGGGGGAGGAGAAGGGGGAAGAGGGCATGAGAGATCATGCACGAGGTATTAGGGAGGTGAGGTGAGGTGAGGTGAGGTGAGGTGACATGTGCACTCCACACGACTTTTAGTGATGGGAAAAACACTTTCTCATGCCAATCCACTTACACACGGTGTTGCACTTGTAGTATTTGAGCCATTCCACGATTTCGCGCAGCTTTGCCTCCAGCCAAACCGGGTAACCGCTTCGCGAATCCAGCAGCGCCGCAGCCATCGGATCCGACGAATCGACGGCCACGATCTTCCAGGAGGTCTTAAGATCGGGGCTGACGACGAGGAACGCGAGCAGCGGCTTCACCAGATACACCTGCCCCACTCGCGCCTCCCCGCGCCCGATTTCGATCACCTCTAAAGGGGCGTGCTGGTCGCACGCGCCGTCGCACGCCTTGTTGTACGACCTGTCGCACGCACTGTCGCACGCCCTGCCGCACATGGTCGCGCACGTCGCCGCGTCGCAGGCTGCACTGTCGCATGCCTTGGCGCGCGACCTACAACAAGAATCGCCAGATCCAGACTGGAAATCCCCTCCGACGTTGTCGCCTTGGCGGCAGCAGCACGTCTCCGGGATGATCCCGAGGTTCCAATCGAGATTGTGACTGTAATGAGCGGGTAACCCGTCCACCTGGCGAACGCGCAGCGGGTGCCACGCCTCGTTATTAGCCGCCTCGATTTGCACCCACGAGTTCCGCGGCGTGCAGCACACCATAGAAACGCTGTCGCCCGCCCTAATAAAATCTGGACGCTCTGACTTACACCCATCCGCACCCGCCGCTTCGATTGCACAACTCCTTTCACCAATTGAACCCTGCAACGTTCGAGCGAAGCTAACACCCCCGCCGCCGCCGCCGTCGGACAAGGGGACGGGTGAGTCAGCGGGCCGAATCGGAACGTCATTCCACGTGGAGATCGGGTAGAGGATCAAGGCATCTTCCTCCTGATCTCGCCCCACAGGATGGATGTGACTGGTCGGCTGGATGTCGCTAGATGACTGTATGTTGGAAGACGAAGACCAGGACGAAAACGAGGAGAATGATGAGAAGGAGGAGGAGGACGGAGCGCACTCGTCAGATCTTGAACCGATCGTGCCTGACAAGACGGGCCGATCTCGTCCAATCGTGGCTACGGATGGTACTCGCACGTTGCTGGTGGTGGTGCTGGGAGGGTCCGTCGCGGAGAGGAGAAAGCCCCGGTACAGCACGGATCCGGGGAGGCCGAACTCGATATAATCATAAACCTCCATTGCGGAGGGTTATCGTCACTTCTCTCAGCTTTTCGCGATAGTTACGTGCTCTCCTGCTCAGCGCCGAATCGCTTCTTACGTGATGCAGAAACCTGACGGTATCTCGCGTGGCTCTTAGAGGGCTGTCGCGGCTTCGCTACTAGCAGTAGTGGCGGTGGTAGTAGTACCGATGCTGCTAATGAATGTCGAAATGCAGTCGAGAACTGATTTGCGAGTGTGAAACCTCAGGTTCGGCTTGAGTTAAGATTCTCGTACGTGATACCCCAGTAGGGCGACCGACCTAGGTTGAGAAAGCGACTGCCTGCCTCGATCAGCAATCAAAGTGTCGCCGGCGTGTTATCAGGAGATCAGCATTGAACGAAGAGCGAGCGATAAGCAGCAGCACCGGGAAACGAAACGCCTATTCCTTCTTTTTCTTTCCTTTCTCCCGTTGAAAATCGAAACATGACCGTTGGGAATGACAGCCCGAGGCCGGCGGAATATATGAGAAAGCGACGCGGACGGATCCGTGAGAGCTTTGTGTCTCTCATTCCAGAATCTAAACGACTTGCCCCGCCC